CCACACACTTTCATACTTCAGACTAAAAGCAAACAGTTCTAACTTTCCCAAAAGAATCTCCTATGAGACCCTTTCCCCAGCAGATGAGATTCAGGGTTTCCTGGATCCTGGACAATAGCATGAAGCACTTTCTAGATTAATTAAGTTCCTACAACAAAAAAATAAAATCAAAAACACTAAATTTTAACTTTGGAAGCATACCATTATTAGGTCACCTCTAACCACTTCATTTGAAATCAAAACTCTTTAGTACCGGTATGACTGATATTTTGAAGAAAGACATTTGCCTAGATACAAGTAAATTTAAAAATAAGATCTGTTAAAATAATTACCACATGATAATGTTTTAGAGTAATGGAATCAAATTAATTACAGACTTAAGAGACTGAAATAAGCCAAAGGTTAAAGTAATATCTTTGCTTTATAAGAAAAATCATTACAGCCTACTCCTTTCAAATTATAACATTACTTAGAGAATGTTAACCATTTTTCTTACCTTGGCCTAAACATTCTAGAGAATGTTAACTATATTTTTTCCTTGGCCTTCTACTTATTCCATCAGACTCTATACAGAATTTTCTGTCCTGGGCCTTTTCATAATAGCACTGTAGCACTGTCCTTCCATTGTCCATCAATTTGCTCGAGCAGGCACCAGTAACGTCTCTCAACAAATTTTGAGACTTATAGTTACTGTTGGCATATCGAATACATCATGGGTAGCTTGCCAGGCTTTGCCGTGCAGGCAAGATACTCTTGGTAGCTTGCTGGGCTCTCCAAGAGGGGCAGAGGAACAGAACCCGGGTGGGCCGCGTACAAATCAAACGCCCTACCCACTGTGTTACCACTCCAGCCCTTTTCATAATAAACTCAGAAAAACAAGATAACTGCACAAATTTTTCATGTTAAAACCCTGAATTTGATCTCCAGCATCTCCTGGTCTCCCAAGTACCTCCATCGGCAGCCCCCTGAGCACAACTGTGTTTGCTCTCCCCCTCCCCCCCCCCAAAAAAAAGAGGGATACACAAAAAAGTATTTAATAATTAGACCTGGGTATGAAGTCTGCAGAATAAAATAACAGAAGAGTAAAGTATTCATGTTATAAATCTTGACACCAAAGAATTCTCTAATTTGTCCCAAATAACTACCATAAATGAGAGCTTTCCAACACAGCTTTATGAGGGCCAAAGAAAGAGTACAGAAATAAGGCACACAGCCAACTATGTGGTTCTCCTGCACTCATGAGGAGTGAAGAACCAGAAGTAAGCCCTGAGCACTGTTGGGAGGGTCTCCAAAACAAACAAAGAACTGAAAATCTAATATAAGAGAGTGCCTTCACACACCAGTCTCACAAAAAATAATAAGAAGGTCTCTGTTAAGGGTCTCTGCAGAGGTCACTGCTGTTCCCTGCAAAGAGCTAGGGCTCAGGGAGAGCTCCTAAAGACCATCATGTCAGGAGCACTGCTTAGGGTGACCAGTGAAATGATGTTACTTATCCTTGGACACAAAAAGACAATTCAGTATGTTTGTATCTTGGTTTTATTTAGACTTCCATCCAATTGATATAGTACTTTACTTTAGTACTGGAAAACCTAGCAGCAGAACTGAACAAGGATAAGTGAAACTGAACACTATCAAAAAGGTCTTTGCTCATTCTGTAGACAGATTGCCTTTCGATAAAGCTCCGACAAAAAGAATGCTTTCTCCATTCAGTCTGAAAAGTTGTACTTTAGAGAAAAATCTGGAAAAAAATCCCCTCCGGTTCCATAGTGTCATTCATAAAAATGACTTCCATATAAGCATCATCATATTGCACACAAAGACCTTTTGGTAAAATGATACACAGGACATTAGTCAGACTTTAAAATAAAAAGACAGAAGTAGACTGTGGAACCCAAATCTCCTTCCTTCTTTGGTAGAGGAAAATATTATTTCCTCTGATAATTATGTCTCCCTCTCAGTAATGTTTCTTTTTTAGTGTGTCAAATGTTTTACATAGTACAAAACAACAAAATTTATCCTTTAAAAACATTTTTTGTACTGTAGTATCAACTGTAGTCACTTAAATTATAATTTTTTTTTTAAAGTCACCGTGATGAGAAATAGCTGAAATGGTTAACTTTATGATTTTTTTTAAAGGGAAGGTATGTTTCAATTAATTTTAAGTGATATCTTAAAATTTCTAAATCACAATCTAATAACCATTTTCAGCATAAGTTTTGCTAACTCAAGAGTTGTTCTGGTTAGTCTCTCATTCTTTAGAAACCCTTAGAAGCCACAATTGCACACTAACCAATTTATACAGAAGGATAAGGAGTAGCTGATAAAAAAAATACAAAATTTTATAATAAAATGTGGCCAAATGTAAACAATTAATTATTTAGAAACATGCTTCAAGTCAGCCAACAGAGTTTTGTAGTCTCCTTGAAATACTTGTACAATAGATCTTAAAGAGCTAAAAATATGTCATTTCAATATGTTAAAATATTCTTGTCTCTTACCACAACACATTGCTAATTGGAGTGTGAAATCAGGCATTACCACATCATTTCTGCCTGATGAGATAATTTTGGTTTTCTTAAGAGCTTTTTGCCAATAAACTTCTTATTGCCAAGAAATAATTTTACTTTTTATTTTGAAAGAAACTATTATTTGTAATGACCGTTCCCAGATTTGCTGAATTACAGGAACAAAAAGAAGTAAAATAGGTATAAAATTTCAATTTTTTAATATATAGAATAAATCTAGAGCAAGAAACAATTTTCTAGAGACAGAGACAAAATGAGTCTTTTATATTTACTGCTATCTTTATATTATTAGGGAAAATAGCTTGAAATTAGTTGTTGTAAGGCTACACGTTTAAATAATATCCTCACTATTATTTTCTATATGTGGATGAATATATGTACACATATGTACACATATATATTTTCTGTTTTTAATACAAATGATCTTCATGCAAAGAACATATGTCTAGTATTTCAGTAACTGACAGACCGACCCCATTCCCTGTTTTAAATTTGAACATATGGAAAATACATATTATCTAAGTCAAAATTAGAATGTTTAACTACTTTCAATGTACTTGATACTCTCTGTATACAGTTCAAATGTGAATGATACCAGTAAGGCAAAATTGGACAGAATTACATTGAGTGAGCTGGTAAGGTTTTTTTGACTCTATTACATCAAGTTATAGTTTGCCTAACTTTATGCTTTACCACACAGTTTTGGCATTGTATGGACAAACTATAGCATTTTAAAAAATATTAGTTTTAAAGCAATGGCAAACTACCATTAATTTACTCAGTAGAGAAATAATTTGTTCTTGATAATTAACACCAATTAACATCAGTTAAGAGTATACCTGAGACATTATATCAGCCTAATCCTCATTATTAGAAATAAATAAAAGTTTAGTCAAGGAATTTTAAAGTACTAATAAAAGATGATTTTTGTTTTTGGTGTTGCACTCTTAGAAAGCAAATAACAACAGTAAATCAGAAGCAGCTTTTGAAAATAAGTATAATTATTAAGCTTTTCTTGAAGCAATTCTGAACTTGTCACTCGCTTGGAATATTTCTATCCTAAAAAAACAGTAATGTCTTACATGTAATTTTCTAAGGAAAGCAAACATTTTAAAATGCAGAAAAAAATCTGTATTTTACCCTAAGTGTAAAAATAAATATTTCATAAGAAATGGGGAAAAATGAAGCACATTTAAATAATTTTATTGCACTGGAAGTTGCCAATTCATCTGTGAGTAGTTTCATTGCAGATGAAAAGAAATCAAAATACAGGACAGATGTTGAACAAACCGCATTTAAGTTCTGTCACACACAGGCATTTTTCAAATGATTTTGGCTCATCTATTAAATAAGGTGCATTTTGCTTGATTTTTGAAAAGGGAAACATCAGGAAATATTTAAAGGCCAATTGCTGCCAATTAACTTTGATCAGTAAAATTTCTATTTGAATCTTTTAGATTCTTCATCTGTCTGAAATAACATACATTTATAAAATCTAGCAAAACAACAACTTGATGATTAATGCCTGTTGGCAGCCTCACCACAAGCTAGCTTAACAGCAGGATTTAAATAAACAACTGTCTCTATTAAGAAGGGAGTAAAATGTAGTTATCGTCATGTTTTCTCATAGTGGAGATATGAAAAACAATATCTTTTATTCTTCAGAACATAGCTAGCCAACATCATCATGTTTGTCAGTGTCCATAATACACTTAACTAGCAATCTTACAAGTGCTCCTCCCAAATCATAATGGACAAATAAAATCATCAGCAGTTTGACATAATAAATCCCAACAACCCCAAGAAGAGAGGCCAGACAAATGTCATCCAACCAACTGAAAGAGCCAGAAATGAAATTATCTAACCCAATAAAGTAAGAGTCTAACAAACAGCATTTGCCAGTATCATAAATTCATTGGATTCTAAACTAATTTATCTCAACAGTGATTATGTAACTAAGAAATACATAATTTCAAGTAGTTGGCAAAGATGAGTATTTCAGACCTCTGACAACAAATGTCAATCCTTATTTGTAAAGGTAAAGGTAAAGGCCCTCCCGTTGATCGTCGATTTGCTCGAGTGGGCCCAGTAACGTCTCCATTGGAGACTTTGTTGTTACTGTGTCTGGCATATCGAATACTCTCGGTAGCTTGCCGGGCTCTCCGAGAGGGGTGGAGGAATCGAACTTGGGTCGGCCATGTTGGCCGCTTGTAAGGCAAACGCCCTACCCGCTGTGCTATCGCTCCAACCGTCCTTATTTGTAATTAGATGGAATCTGACAATGAAACACCACAACCAGAGTTTTGCAAAACAAAAACACCATAAAGCAAAACAAATTTCCTTATAAGCAATTATTACTCATTATTTTTTTCAAAAAGATATTTTTTTCAAAAAGAATATCTTACTGGAATTCAGAGCCAATCACCTATTTCCAGACATGATAATCAAGTGCATATAAAAATAATTAGAACTTACTTCTAAGTCATTAAAAAAGAGATGCGTGTCTGCCAAGTTGAAAATCATTTCTTCCATCCGAAGCCCAAGGGAAACTGAAGTAGGTGGATCCTAAAAGAAGAATTTTACGGGTCAAGAACATGTATACTTCAGGTTACATGAAATATAATGTCATATTAAGAGGGAGTTTGTGTCAGGTTGAAAGCAAGAGCCCCAATGGGAGGCTTGGGTTCCAGTTTCTTTTGGTGTGCATGATTTATTCCATGCACAAATTTCAGTGACTTATTTTATTTAAAAGTCCCTCAAATGTTGATGATGCTTTGCATAATGAAGAAATAACATGCTGCTTCAAATATTACAATATATACAAAGTCTAGGGTTACTTATACAAATAAAAGAGAGGAAACCCAGCTTTACACATCTGTGGCAGGAGCAAGAAATTCAGTGAATTCAGAAGACCTTATGTGGCACCAGTCTGCGAGGAATGCATTGCCACAAACACCAGAAAATCAACATGCTATAGATTAATTTCAGAAGGGACTAAATACCAATTCTCTTCCAGATGATGACCAGCACTGCTGCTATTTATTCCTATTGCCTGCAATGCTATGTATCCTCAAAGCGGGAGGTGCTGACCACTCTGACCATCTGGTACTTTGTCCTCTTCCATGAGCTGATCTTGACTTTCCTGTGACATTATCTGGTCATCAAACTACAAGATCCATACGTGGAGCCGAGTTCCAGCATTCCAAGGTGTACTTAAAGGCTTCTACTCAAGGCTTCACACTTGCACATTAGTGATGAGCAAAAAGCCCATCGCACATGGCACATACTCTAAAGAATCTTCTGATAAGGACTTGGAGGAAGGCAGACATTTGCTTTTTAGGGGCTTGTGGGCCCATATTCAGCTGTGATCAGGGCTTAGTCTTAGAGGGGCTTGGGAGCTATACATGGTATTGGGGATTGGACCACAGTCAGCAGCGAGCAAGGCAAGCTTCCTACCCACTGTACTATCTCTCTGACCTTATATCTGCTTAGGGTGCCACATGATTTATGGCTATCTTGCATATTTAAAAAAGAAAGAAATTCTGTAAAAAAAAGAGAGTGCAAGGCTATAAGATGTGCTTCTGAAGGTTTTCTTGACATTTAGTCAATACCAGCTTTCAGATGCACAGTGTTTAAATTTTTTCTAGTAAAGTAAAGTAAAGTAAAGGCCCTCCCGTTGATCATCGATTTGCTCGAGCGGGCCCAGTAACGTCTCCATTGGAAACTTTGTTGTTACTGTGTCTGGCATATCGAATACGTCATGGGTAGCTTTCCAGGCTCTGCCGGGTGGGCGAGATAGCGATAGCACAGCGGGTAGGGCGTTTGCCTTACAAGCGGCCAACATGGCCGACCCAAGTTCGATTCCTCCACCCCTCTCGGAGAGCCCGGCAAGCTACCGAGAGTATTCGATATGCCAGACACAGTAACAACAAAGTCTCCAATGGAGACGTTACTGGGCCCGCTCGAGCAAATTTTTTCTAAAGTGCAAAAAACAATCAATTGACATTCTATTTCATTGTCACAGCAAAATTCTGGAAGAACCGCAGTATCTACCTACATCATCATTTCACCCAGGACATTGTAACTAGTGAACTTATTCAGTCCCATTTACCACCTTTCTGTGACAGTGTGCTCTGCATATCATCAGTCCTAGTTAAGATAATAAACCCAGAGAAAATAAGATTCTTCTAGCTAGGGGCCAGAGAAATGTCAGAGTGGCAAGGAGCTTGCCTTGCACAGTTAACTTGGATTCAATCTTTGACGCTGCAAGCCAATCTCTGACCCTCTAAGCCCTGCGACGGGTGATCCCTCAAGACAGAGTCAGGGATGAGCCCTGAAAAACACTGGATGTTGCTCTAAAACAACGAGTAAGCAAGATTCTGCTATGTAAACCTTGTAGTTACCTGCAGTGCTTTCTGAACACAATTACGAACTCTATTACCAAGTTCAAGCTTCACCTACCTCCTTATGACTAAGGCTCCTTGTATCCTTGCATATTTACCTCAAATGCCATTTCTTTATGGACTTTGGGAAGTAGTAGGAAGAAAGAAAAGAGTCCAGGACCCTGAGGTTAGGCCAATCCTCCACCGCCCTTCCCTCAACTCCACGCCCCTCCCCATGGTATCTTTATCTCCTTGAGTCTCAGATGGCTTATCTAAACGAAGCAGAGGCACTATAGCACTGTCCACCCATTACTCATCAATTTTCTCAAGCAGGCACCAGTAACATCTCCACTGTGAGATTTGTTGTTACTGTGTTTGGCATACTGAAAACAAAGCAGAGGACTAGAAAGTAAAAACACTGTTCTCATACAGAATAATAACATTTTCTCTTCTCTTACCTTGGCACCATAATACATATGCATTAGCAAGAGCAGAATGGAGAGGGACCAAACTTTAACAGTGCTACAATGCCCATAGTCTACCATCCTAAGGCTTAGAGGAGGCCAGTTTGGGAAAACAAGGCAGGGTGACTCTGCTGACCGCAATTATTCCTGCCTGGTCCTTCTCTTACAAACAACCAATAACAAAAAAGATGACAGAGTACACAGTATCCTCAAAAGTCAGCAGCAAAGACTTAGCTACCCGTCCAAGAGCTTCACACAGGGACAAGCAAAATCACTGTATCACTGTATCACTATCCTCCCATTGTTCATCGATTTGTTCAAGCAGGCCCAGTAACGTCTCCATTTTGAGACTTTTTTTTTACTGTGTTTGGCATATTGAATACATACGGGTAGCTTGCCAGGCTTTGCCGTGTGGCGAGATACTCTTGGTAGCTTTCCGGGCTCTCCGAGAGGGGCGGACAAATCGAACCCAGCTTAGCTGGGCTGGCTGTGCACAAGGCAAAAGCCCTACTGCTGTGCTATCGAGCCCAGCAAAATCATTTCTGCCAAATCTACTCCTTCGAACTACCAGACTGTCCCTATTTAATAAGACCTAAAAAACAAAAGCAATTTTGTTGGTTGCATAAGAATTAAAAATAACTTACAAAAAAGTAAAGAAAAATTGTCACTAAATCTTGGTTTTATAGGAAATCACTCAAGCACAGGATTCAACTTATCATAAAGTATGTTGGCAAAAGCAACTGCTCAAAATTAGCCTAGAGCAGAATTAAGCAGCAGGGGAAGTCCCAACAGCTGTTTCTAAAACAAAACACCTGACTAAGGTGTTTACTCCCTTCAGTTCAAGCCAATAAAAATACACTAACTTGTCTCATAACCATGTCAATGATTCTTTTTATGTGGCAAAGCAGAAGAGACTCACCACATTGATTTAATTGCCAATTCTGGAATTTATGTGCCATAGCATTGTTACTTTTGAAAAAGAATTATTTCCCCTTGATTTGCTTGCTTATTTATATGACCATCAAAAGAATTACCCCATTGTTTGCTAATACATAGCATACTTTAACTTTTCTTCATAAATTACAGTAACGACTTGCTAGTAGGAATACTAATAAATTTTAAAGGCTTGTTCAGTCCTGTGGTCAAATACAACACAGATGTTGGCCTTATTTACCTTTTAATGTTTTTCTCTTTTGTTATTAGCTGTCATTCCTTAACAGTCTTATACCTGCCACTCCACAGCATTATTATGAAACATTTACGATGCCAAAAGAACAGTTTGTGAATCAGAATGAAAGAAATATAGAAATGGGAGAAAATCTAGTGAAAAGCAGGGCGTCTCAAACATTTTTAAAACTACAATCCATATGTATGTGTGTGTATGTGTGTGTATTTATTTATTTATTTTGTCATGATCTAGTAATTGTTCCCTCTCCCCTACCCCCACATACATGAACACATGTATAAGTTAAAATGTAAGTTTGGCAAAACATGGTTTTCCTTGCTCTGCTGTGTGCACCCTGGTATTTTCCACTGCCCAGTTTTCCAATGGGCCGCGATTTACAGATCAGAAAGAAGAGCTCTATCTAGACTGCAGAGCTTCTTAAAGCCTTTTCCACTCACAACTGGTTTTCACCCAAGAAATGCAACATGGGTGAGCACTGCCAGAAACACCTGGATTCATGATGCATTTGATTTTTTTGGCAAGCTCCCCGTGGCGTACCCAATATGCCAAATACCAGTAACAATGATGGGTCTCATTCTCCTAACCCTGAAAGAGCCTTGAATATGGCACTTTTTAAAAAATCAGGGCTAGGATGAAGGAGACGTTACTGGGACCTGCTCGAGGCAATTGACGAACAACAGGATGATCGTGATCGATCGTGATTTTAGTTTGTTTACTGTGGCCATTTTTTTCTTCACCCCCTATTCAGCTGCCCACATGGGACCCAAATGCCAGTTTCAGAAATTTGGCTGTTGATGACATCTACTTCTGCGCTTGAAGACCAGAAAACTGACTGGCAGCCCATGTTCTGAATTTGCTTCTGGCCACAGAGTTGGCAAAGTGCAAAGTCATCTCACCCTAAATATTTGGTGTACAAGGACATCAGCAGAAGAACAGATTGATCACCCTGTCCAGAAATCTCTTCCTAAATCTAGCAATTGGAATCCTTCTCCTATTGAGGCTTCACTTTATTTTCCAATTAAAATAATCTTTTAATACACCTTTCAAATTTTTCAAACCTGTCTGGTACAAGACATATGTCACTAAAGCTAACAGTGAACAGCTAAAAATTAGTTGTAACTTAATGGTTTACTTTGGCCTCTGTAGTGGAAGATAGAAAAAACACACTTTTTCAAACCCAAGCTGAGACATAAAAATCATCATGTCTTTGGCTTGATCTTACTTTTCTTGTGCTTTGCAATAACAAATTCCACTGCTGCAGTTATGAAATGGCTGCTTTTAAAACACCATTTTTTGGGGTTATGTAACTTTTGAAACAGTATTTAGAACTCAGCCTCCTTTTCAAAGAAACATCTCATTTTAAATAAACCTCATTGAACAATGCATCCATTTTTTTTCAGAACCTGACAATTCTGTGATATTGAATATGGCTGTCTAATCTCTGTGGCATTTATTCTTTTCTATCTTTGACATTGTCAGTCTTCTCTGAGACTCTTCTTAGAATCTGATTAATCATTGTCTATCTCATTTAAA